TGAAGACCAAAGCCTGATGCTGGGTATCTTCCTCCATCATTCTCCACCTTTGAGACAGGGTCTCTCAATGAACTTGGAGCTTGCCTGCTTGCTAGACAAGTTGGCTAGCAAGCCTACAAGATCCTTCTGTCTCCACCTCTCCAGCACAGGGATTATAAGTATGGGTGGGTGCTTCTAGCTTTTTGAAAAATATATGAGTACTGGGGATTGAACTCAGGTCCTCATGCTTGTCTGCAAACACTTTACTGACTGAGCCATCCTTCCCAGGACCACTGTCTTTTTGTTGCTGTAAAACATAAACTTACTATCATTTCACATCTAAAGGCATGGTTCAAATTTTTCTTTCCTTCCCTTTGACAGTGTGTCACTAAATAGCTTAGGCTGGCTTGGAACTAGCTATGTAGTCCAGCATGACCTCAAACATATCATCCTCCTGCCTCAGTCTCCCAAGTGCTGGGATTACAGCTGTGTGTCTCCACACCCAGCTTTGTATGTACCTTAAAAAGCTACATGTTATCACATAATATCACAAAAACTTACCATTTGTAGTTTTTAAATTTAAAATTGGGGCTCAAGATAACATGCTCAGATTCAGGTGGAACCCTATTTTAGAATTCTGCTAGGTGACTCTATGTCACTCACATGGCCTCACAGTGGAAGAGTCACTCATTGATGCTGTCATCAGTGAGTTCAGCTTTTGGGACTCCATGGTCTCCACTGCCCAAGTTCCCTGTCACCTCCCAGTTAATGGCTTTATCCATTGCTGATCTTTCCTTGAATTGATTGATTCATTTGGGACAAAATCCAAAGGACGATTTTCTAATCAACACTCTTCCAACATTTATAATGGATAGCTCTGATTGATCCATCAAGAAGACTCATCTGCCCTGGTTGTTTGCTAATCCTGCGATCTTGAGAGGCACCTGGTTTTCAGACAGGTACCTGAGTTGTCCACTCAGGAAAGTCTTAGGAGAGCAGTGACAAATACAGCCCCATGGTATCCAACAGTGTTAAAAATTAATCTGACTGCAATAATTAGATGCAACAAATAATTTTTAAAAACAGGCTAAATTTCTAGGTTGGCACATATATTCATGTCTTGTTGTACCCATAAGAAATGTACAGTGAACAAAGCTACAAATTTAAAATGTTAGTTCTTACGGTACTGGGTCTCCATCCTAGTGCCCTGTGCATGCTAGGTTGGCACTCTGCCACTGAGGTATAGCCACAGTCCACACAGATACAAAAATTTTGAAGCCACTATTGAAAAGTAAAAATGGGAAATTAATCACTGTGAGTTTGTTAACCCCAAGCAGCCATCTTTTGATATCCATGGGAAACTGATCCAAGGACTCCCAGAATTTATGAATGCTAAAATAAAAGGACTTTGGCCACTTCCTTTCATCTTATACTTCCAAGGTCTAAGAGGTCTCTGGCACATAGTAGGTATGGCAATTTAAATGAGAATGTTCCCAATAGGCTCAGATGTTTGAATGCTTGTTCCCTTGTGGTGATACTGTGTTCCCCAATATATGGTGAACACTAATAAACTTATCTGGGGTCAGAGAACAGAACAGCCACTAGATACAGAGGCCAGAAAATGGTGGCACTCACGCCTTTAATCCTAGCATTCCGAAGGCAGAGATCCATCTGGATCTCTGTGAGTTCAAAGCCACACTGGAAACAGCCAGGCATGGCCACTCATGCCTTTAATCCCAGGAAGTGATGGCAGGAAGCAGAAAAAGGTATTTAAAGCGTGAGGACGAAGAACTAGAGCTGGTTAAGCTTTTAGGCTTTTGAGCAGCAATTCAGCTGAGATCCATTTGGATGAGGACTCAGAAGCTTCTAGTCTGAGGAAACAGGATCAGCTGAGGAACTGGCAAGGTGAGGTGGCTGTAGCTTGTTCTGCTTCTCTGATCTTACAGCATTCACCCCAATACCTGGCTCCGGGTTTGTTTTTATTAATAAGATCTTTTAAGATTTGTGCTACATTCCCTGGTTGGTAGCACTGTCTGGGTAGGTTTAAGGGCATGGCCTTGCTCAAGGAGGCTACTGCTGGCGGGCTAAGGTTCCAACGCTTTGCACTGTTCCCGGTGTACTCTCTGCCATTGGAGCTGTGAGCCCTCCCCATCTGATCCAGCCACCGTGTCTCTGCTCCGCCACCATGGACTTTGTCTGGAACCATAAACACAAACTTTCTTCTGTAAGTTGCCTTGGCTATAGCATTTTATCACAGCAATATAAAAGTGACTAATAAAGTAGGCACTTACTTTTTACTGAGTAAATGAGGGAATAGACGTATTTAATGCTAGCTCTGCCCCTTTGTTCAAAAGCCCACTCTGCCACTTAGCATTTATCTCAGGGTCCACTGAGCTTCTCATCTTTTTATAAAGCAAATCTTACAGTCCACTTTAAATCTGAGAAGTGGGTAGAATAATGTAAATGAATTGCCTAGGATGCTACATTGGGAGAACCAAGACATATATCTGGGTCTGTCACCTCCGGATCCAAGCAGGTTGAACAGGAATATGGACACAGATGTCTATCTAATGCTTTCATACTGGGCTCTGTCTTCTCTAGGATATTTAAAGTGAGTAACTTGAAATCATATGCAATGAACACGCTAGATAACATCAGACTCAGAGGCAGAGGGCTTCGTAAGGGTTATGGATGTGAGGCTGTGCCTAATGCGATGAAATTTAAAAGAACAAATCTAAGTCTGCATCAAAGCTGAAACAAGTCGTAATGAGTGAAAGACCAGGCAGAAACTCTGCAGTAACATATGCTGAACTGAGAAACAAGTATACCCAAGGAAGTGAAGGACTGTGATCAGATTTCTTCATGTTTAAATGCTGCCCCCATCTGTCATTTACGATCAAAACATTAAAATAAAAAAGCTATTATTCAGATGTGGTGGTGCATGTCTGTAATTCCAGCTACTTGGGAAACTGAGGCAGAGGATCATGAGTTTGAGGCCAGCTGGGCTGTGTAGCAAGACCCTGTCTTAAAATACACTCACATATATAAGTACTACAGGTTAAGTAGAGAAGTTACAGGAAGCCAGCCCTCTATTTCAGTCTTAGGATAATCAAGAAACATACCACAGCCCTCTTAAGACAGGAAGAAAAGGAAAAGAGCCTACATAATGATTTCCAAAATCTGCAGCCATGAAATGTTTCCTGAAGTACTATTCAACCAAATGACAATTTTCTCTGAAAACAGCTACAGAGGGAATCCAGACAGACAAAGCAACAAGAGTTTAGGGGATTTGTTCTGTAGGCAGGGGACCACATGCACACATCTTTATTGGACACGAGAGTTTATTAGTAGGAAGAAAAAAAAAGGCTCCTAAAGGAGCTTTTAGAAGAAAATTCTTTGCTCTCAAACAAATAAACAAACACCAAAAAACAACCAAGTAGCATTAAAATTTTTTTTAAAAAGCTACATAGCAAACATTTTTTGTTCCTGCCAAGCTAGGCCCTACAGAAAGATAAATAATATACTCCCAATCCTAAACGATCTATAAACTATTAGTGTTGTTTTGGTGCCATTTAAACCAATGTTTGAAACAACACTTTCTTTGCTGATGTATTTCAACTACTACAAAGTCCAACTTCTGGTCTTAAAGTCTACACAGCTGTCCCTAGAAGGTGAGTGCAGACATTCCATCCCTTCTGGTTGTGGTCTACAATATAGAGACATCACTGTAACTTTAGGACTCACATTTGTTCATCAACTTGACTGGCAAACTGCTGAGCACACCCATGAGGGATCTTCTTGATTAGGCTACATGAAGCGGGAAAACCCGCCCTCAAAGTGAGTCAAGTGGTTCTGCAGCAGCACAGGCCGAGGAAAAGCTTTCTGTTTACTTGTGTTTGCGTCTGGTGAGGGAGTCCATCTGCTCTGTGGCTGCCACTGCCACTGCCTTCCTTCACTGACACTAGAACCCTTTCTTTAGTTTTATAATGTGAGCTTTAGACCAATGGCTCTCGAGGAATTCTCCTGGCCTTCAGTGTCAGATTGCCACTGCTGAGGACCAGCTTTGTGGAACAAATAACAACAGTTCTGAGCCTCTCTATTGTGAAGACAGCCATTCTTGGGCAACATAGAAAGTACTTTGTAAACCAGTCTAACAACAGTTTTCACACACACACACACACACACACACACACACACACACACACACACCCTCATTCTATTGGTTCTATTCCTCTAGAGACCCCTTGACTAACAGACCTATCATTTTTATTTTTAAACTTTGAGGCAGGATCTCACTAAGTTGCCTAATGTGGTATTAAATTCATTCTGTAACCTAGGCAGGCCTTGCATTTGTGATCCTCCTGAGGAGATGGGATTATAGGGACACATCAGCAGGCCTGGCTCCTGTCTGCACACCGATTCTTCTACTTGCTTTTAATTAAAAATGAAAATTCTATTTTAAAAGTGAGTATAGAGAATAAAATCTATCAATATGGATCTATGCATCCCATTATCTGAACTTCAGTAACTTCATAATATAAATCTATAAAATAGGCCTGTGGTTAATTTTGATTGTAAACTTGACTGAATTTTGAGCCGTCTAGGAACAAAACTTGTGTACCAGGAAGGGTGTTTTCAGAGGTTTAATGGTAGACCCAGCATGGATGTGAGCAGCGGCACCCCACAGGTGCAGCACCTCAGGGTTAGGGTAGCAAATAAAGAAGAGGGCAACAGAGCAGCAACATGACATGCATCACTCTGCTCCCTGACTGTAATGCATCATGACAGCTGCCTCGAAGTCCTGCCATGCCTTTCTTGCCACAGTGGACTGTACCTTGAAACTGTGAGCTAAAATAAGCACTTCCACCCTTACACTGTTAGGTGTCACAGCGGTGGGAAAGGAATGAACAGTGGGCCCTAAAACTATATACAAGCCATGTACTAGAAAAGAACTGACTCCACTGTAAAGGGAGGGAGAACAAAGACATTCACAACTAAGAAGAAACTATGACAGCTTCATGCCAGTTTGTGTGATAGTTTTACTGTAATAGAAATTACAGAGATTGCATAAATTATTAGGTCAACAGTATATAAAGAACAAACTAAGTAAACAAATTGTTGCGATCTAAGACCAGGAAAAGCAACTCAGTTTTTAAGAACACCACACAATCCAGAATTTTGATTTCTTCTGTAAAAAAAATTTACCTTTTTGCATTTTCTGGATAGACTAATGTCTGTAGGTACACTATGTGAAATGGAAACCCACTTCACAACAAAAAACATGAAAACACAAGGTACACAGACACGTAGCCCTCTGAACACTGAACAGGACAGAAACCAAGATGTCAGGCTGCCTGCTTTTGCCTAGGCACAGCAGGGGTACTCTACCAACAATGGCAGTACTTTGTAAATACTATCCTGTGTACTAACATCATACATGTTGGAACACACACACACACCCAAAAAGCATAGGAGTCAAAACCTTCCTATGAAAGAAAAAAAAATAGATATACCAGATGTTAAAATTTCCCTTCTTCATTCCATTATTTATCCTGTTCAACACAAAGAAGTAAATAATTTCTTACAAACTTCAATTTATACTGTTGCAAAGAGACTTAAAAAACACCCAAATCTTAATTTACTCTTTCTTGTCATTAAATAAACATGCTAATATACAGACACATTTAGTGCTTAAGTAAGTTGTAGGAGTCAGCCATGTCTAGGTCACTCCACCTCATCATGACAATTATACCCCAAATGTAGGTTTAACATAAGCAAAAGTTGCTCAAGGTAATTTTTTCTCCTTTTTCTGTTTAGTTAAAAAAAAGGCTTCATTTTTGGAATTTTAGAATTACATTTGGGTAGTCTGAAAAAATACAATTTCAATGCAAAAATCCTATCACGCATTCAAGAGTGTATTGCTGGTGCTATAATTGTTTTGCAGGTCTTTGTTTTCCATAGAAAAAAAATAACAGTAGAATAAACAAAGTGTCTGAGAACTTGAAATGGCTAAGCACAAACGCACAATCTGAACCGAGGTCTCATGTACACACGCACAAACTCAAACACGAGGAAGATCAGACATCTTTCTTCTGCATTTGTTCGAGCTTTCTTCTCAGAAGACGGTAATTCTCCCTGGTGCCTGCTGCCACAGGGTCAAGCTGCAAGGAGATCTCATAGTGTTTCTTGGCCGAGTCGAGATGTCCCCAGCGATGATAAAGCACAGCTGAAATAGCAGGAGATGAATTTGGTTGGAAGAGCTTCTGACTAACTTGCAGGATTCCCAAACACATGCACAAAGAACTATTGTGGAGCCTTTACAGAAATCACTGTTTAAAAAATATTGTTTGTACTGTAAGCTTTATTTATTGTAATCGCACACCCTGGGGAGCAGCCCCTGAACCCCTGCCTGTTACTCATGGGGTTATTCTTATTGTTAGATGGCATTCACGTGCTTCCAGAAATGTTATTACAAAAAAGAAGGGCCGTGATTGTTTCAATGCTGCTGTGGAACTTCTAGCTAGTCAGCACGGCACTGAGCTTGGGCTATGTCAAAGTCTAGTCTGTTATTATTTCATCCTTTATAAAAAAAAAACCCTGCAATTTATTTTATTTTTTAAATTTACTTATTTTTATTTTATGTGTATGAGTATTTTGCCTGCTTGTATATATATGTACCACATGCATTTGGTGCCTGACACCTATGGAGGCCAGAAGACATCAGATCCTCTGAAACTGAAGTTACAGATGGTTGTGAGCCTCCACATGGGTGCTGAGAACCAAATCTGGGTCCTCTGCAAGAGTAGCCAATGTACTTAACTGCTGAGCTATCTCTATATTCCCAACCTTCTATTTATTTATTTTTTGTTTTTCGAGACAGGGTTTCTCTGTGTAGCTTTGGAGCCTGTCCTGGAACTCACTCTGTAGACCAGGCTGGCCTCGAACTCACAGAGTTCCGCCTGCCTCTACTTCCCTAGTACTAGGATTAAAGGTGCCTGGCTCCAACCTTTTATTTTAAGTGAAGATTTCCATATACCTTTTGGTGAAATAATAGCTGTGTTTCTAGGTTGAAATCGGGGCTCTCACATTAGAATCAGACTGTAAAATGATGTTACCATAAAGCGCATCTTCAGCACCCTAAATCTGATTGGGGTACGGAATGGTTCTCGCGAGATACTGGAGTGTGAATGAGGCCCCGCACGCAGGCAAGCGCTACACTAAGCTGCCTCATCAGCCCATTTAATAAAAATTCATTTTGAGACAGGATCAATTCAGGTTACCTTTCAAAAATTGCTTTTGCAAAAAAGATTTTATAGACATATACACATAAAATAACACAGAATTTCAATACAAGTCAAATGGAAAACTTTCTTACCCAGATTACCATGGTAACTCGCAACATTTGGATTTGCTTTAATTGCCTTGAGGAATAAAGCTTCAGACTCCTAAAAATGAAGTACATACAGAAGGTATTATGCACGAAGCAAAAACAATCATCTTATCTTCTAGCATTACTGTTTTGTATCACCATATCCTTTCCAGAAACAGCCTTGCTGAGAAGGGGCTAGAAGAGCTACCAAGAAAGGTGGACGGGGCAGCAGACCACAGTGGTGACCAGAGAGAGGAGATGACGAAGCCTGTGAGCTTGCAACCTAGTTCAAATGACTTAATTCAGGGAAGGGAGAAAGGGACAGAGAGGAGAGGATCAAGCTGTCGAGGACACCCATGAAAGCAGCATGCCCAACCCAAACTGATGACCTAAGTGCAGAGACAAAACACTCAAGGTAGGAGTATGAGCCTGTTTAATCTCCCACAGAAACCCAGAATACCCTTAGCATCCCAGATGAAGCTGCATCCCTCATTCAGCAGCAATTAGCATAGATAATAAGGAAAAAATGGCCACCTATGAAGGGAGCTATCCATTACTCTATAGGGCTGTAACCAAAGCCCCTGGTGAGCATGGCCTGGTTTTCGTACTTCTCCTTACTTGCAGTGGGGTCACTATGAAGCAGGGTGGTGGTTTTCTGAGTGAGCCCAGATGGTCTTTCTGCCTGGAGATAGATGCCAAACCTGTCCACTAGCATTAAGTCTAGGCGTGTCTCCCACACACCTGCTTTGAAAGAGCCAACCTCACTATAACTGGCATCAAATGCTGAGCTTATACTAACAACCCATGCTGCTGGACTCTTCTGAGTGGACTTCCTGCCTCTCTGAAGTGCAGGAACAGCAGCTTCTTTGCCATGGGATAGCCAATGAGAGTCATGGGAAGCAGGCTGGGGGGTCCAGGTGGAAAACTCTGAACCCACAGAGCTCAGAGAAAACCCAGTCATGTAGAAATATCGTTCAAAAGCAAGTGAATGAAGACATCAGTCTGACAAATAGGATGCCAGCGGTAAGTCAGGGTCCACAACCCAGCTCCAGCAGCTGAACTGCCTTTGCAGAGACCTGTGATGTGTCCGACATTTTAGATAAGCTGCAGAACAACCAAACCAAATGGAAGGTATGGTTTGTTGTGTTTTTTATGCAGCTATGCTTTTTCGGGTGATTTTTAAACATTTTCATCTAACCCTGAAACTACAGGAGATAAGAGAGACAGACAATGAAAATCTACTTTAAGATGCTCTGAACACTCACACAAGAGTTTGCCGGAGTGGACTGCTGCAGGGGTGAATGACCTGCTTTCTAGGGGTTCCTAGAATGTCCCATTTCCTAACTGCTCAAATGTCAAGCCCATGGCTGTCCCTGGTAATGAGTTGGCGAGCCCAGAGGAGACAGTTACACTGATGGGGGTAGGTGCTTGAGGTGCACACATCCTTAAGTGGCGACTCCTACATGGCAAGGTTGAACACTGCAAGGGAACCAGAAGATGAAGGAGGAAGCGTGAACCATGTTTCCGAGGCTGGAAACACTGCAGCATGTAAACACAGGGGCATCCCAGAAAGGGCAGGTCTGGGGGCAAGTGAGTGTAGGTAGGATCTGCTGCCTCAGGGGTGCTGGGGCTGCTGGAGTGCATGCTTCCGCAGCCTTGGACTGTACCTCAGCCTGAGGATGAGCACAGGCCTAGAGGTGTTCAAAGCTCATAATGTGTTCATCCATCCCATCAGCTTTTAATGGCCATGTTCAAGAAAGACTTTATAAACTGGTCCATGGAGAGATCTGGATGCTTCTAAACACAGGCAATGTGCTGGTTTGTATCACCAAATAGATTCAACCCTCATTCAACTGGAGATTTTGTTTATTGACACAGAGAAAAAGTAATGCACTCTTCTGAAGTACATTATACACTGCATTTAACAAAGGTTTGGGGCTGGGAATGGCCTTGCAATTTGGGTCTTTAAGAACAAGTGGAGATCTGGGTGGAGAGACCTGGAAGGCAAACATCTCAAGAGCAACAGGTCCTTAAACCTGAGCCAGAGCCCTCTTAAGGGCCATCTTGTATCCTGCATGACTCAGGGAGGGGAAGGGGGGCAGTGTGATGTGAAGATCACCTTCCTTCAGACTCACTCAGGCAAAAGTCAGTACAACTGGCAGCTTGTGGCTCACACCCCCTACCATGGGCTAGTCTGCCTTTGAACTAACAGAGTATGACCCCAGGCTCAGAGCCTGTGCCTGTAATAGTTAAGTAGCTGAGTCGGAGTAAAACTTTCACTTTTTAGCTACCTATATTTCTAGAAATGACATATTATCTTTTAAACACATTTATCTGTATTTAAAATATATTCAAGGGCTGGAAAGATGGCTCAGCAGTTGAACACACTGGTTGCTTTTGCAGAAAACCCAGGTTAGATTCTCAGCACTCACATGGCTTCTCACAACCATCTGTAACTCTAACACCTAGGAGATAGGATATCTTCTGGTCTCCATGGGCACTGCACACGCATGGTGCACAGAGACACAAGCACTGCACACGTGTGGTGCACAGAGACACAAGCAGGTAGAACACTCACACATAAAATAAAAAGGTTACATTTTTAAATTTTTTTTTTTCGTTTTTTGAGACAGGGTTTCTCTGTATAGTTTTGGTGCCTGTCCTGGAACTCACTCTGTAGACCAGGCTGGCCTCGAACTCACAGAGATCCGTCTGGCTCTGTCTCCCAAGTGCTGGGATTAAAGGCGTGAACCACTGCCACCCGGCTAAAAGATTAAAAATTTAAAATATCTTTTTGAAAAGAAGCATCAGCTGGGTGTGATGTGCACACCTGTACTTGGGGGGCTGTGACAAGAGGAGGGCAGAGTGCCAACCTGAGCTACATAACAAAATATAGCCAAGACTCGGTCTGGTAAATAAACAGATATAAATAAATAAACAAAAAAATCAAACAAATCAGGTAGAACCTACATGAGAAAAACCGAAGAATTCTTAACAGTGTGACACACATGACCACTCTCTCACTGTGGTGTGCTCCTAAACCCTAGGGCAGTGGAATGAGGAATGCAGAAAGGGAATGGCTGGGAAGTATCACAGTAAGCGCTGAACATCACTTCTGCCCTTCTCCACTAGCCCAGAATTGGAGATTAACATAAATTTTATAGGTTTAAAATGATTCCTAAAGAGTCACTTAGTGATCATTCAACTCATCATTTTGTATGCATGTATTTACCATTCAATAGGTACAAATTCCACCCTCGTGCGTGTTCTATTGCGAGGCCAGAAGTTGAGCAGACTGCTGTCTTCACTTTACACAAGAACAGACTGAGGCACGGACAGGTGAGTGTCTGCTGTCAGGCTCAAGGGCTCTTGCATGAGCACTAGAACCATTCAACACATTAGACACCCTTTCTGCACACCCAAGCTGCTAGCAGGCTGAGGAAACCTGCATCCTGATGCTGCTGAGAAACTCATCTGGTCATTTTATGACTACAAGCCTGAGGACCTGAATCTGTATCCCGGGACCCACGCAAAAGCTGTCACAGTGCTGGGGAGGCAGAGGAGGGTCCCGGAATTTCTCTGGCCAGGAAAGCTGGCTGAATAGGCGAGCTCCAGATTCAGCTCAGACTCTCAAAAAAAAAAGGTAGACAGTGACTGCGGAAGATCTTACATCAGCCTCTGACTCCAGCCACATATATGTGCAAACACACACACACACACGCACACCACACACACACACACACACCACACACACGCACACACACACACATGCACACACACACACGCACACCACACACACACACATGCACACACACACATGCACACACATACGTACACACATGCACATACATGCACGCACACACACGCACACCACACACACACACACATGCACACACACACCACACACGCACACACACACACGTACACACACGCACATACATGCACGCACACACACGCACACCACACACACACACGCACACACACACACATGCACACCACACACGCACACACACACGTACACACACGCACATACATGCACGCACGCACATGCACACCACACACACACCACACACGCACACACACACATATACACACCACACACTCACACACACGCACACACACACATACATGCACGCACGTACACGCACACCACACACACACCACATACGCACACACGCACACACACCACACACACACACACACACACCACACACACACACATATACCACACACGCACACACACACACCAAGTAAGAGAAAACCAGCAAGGTTCATAAGTGGCAAATAAGTTGTCTAGAATGCAGACTCCCAATCCCTGGGCTGCAAGATGAGTCTACTCCAACCCTGTGAGTCTCCACTACCCCGCACCCCCCTTTCCCTACTGTGTCTGCCCAGGGTTCTGTCAGGAGACAGCCAACATCAAGCAGGACAGGGCATCCTGTAGCCCAAGAACAAAAGATTCTCTTCCTATTGTGACAGAAAAGCTACACAAATGTTTACATTCCAAATCCTTAACTTAAAAGAAAAAAAAAATATCAACTGCTGGCCCATGGCTGGACTTGGCTGGCTGACCCCTGGCTGGAAAACTCCCCTTATGCTCCCTGCTGGTATCTGCCCAAGAGCTCAAAATGAGCTCCTTATTTCAGATTTCATCTCATTTCCTTATCATAGGCTCAGAACTCTGGCCTTGACCATTAAGATGAAAAACGTGTAAAGGGTGACGGACTGCTCCATTCTGCTATATGGAGTATTTTCTACTATGGTGGTTGGGGGATGTGAACAGGAAGCCAAATGAACCCTAGGTTCAGTTCCTATAACAGAACTCGCACTTTACAGACTGTAGGATGGTAGAAAAGAGATCAATACAACGATTACAGAATTGGTGTCCTGAAGAAGGCTTGCTGTTGCTGAGCCAATGGAGGACCAAGTCCCCCCACTCGTCCTTGCTGACAACCACACCCCTTCCCCCATGTAGAGGTACAAAAAATTAAAACAGAGCATTTCCAAAAGCCACTTTTTAGTACAAAAGCTGGAACTAAAAATGTATAGTGAAAGCTAAATTCACCAACACTCAAAAATGATAGAAACATGAGAGACAGTTTACAGAAAATTAAACCAATAATGAAGTGTAATGAACATAAGGAAATGACAATAGAGTTATTAATTAATGCATTAGTAGTGTTCTCTAGAGAAAAAATTAATTGCTACAGTTACGCCTTGAATCATATCCACGGCCTCAGGGTGTTCAAAATAACACATAGCTGCTATAATTTTGAAATAAAATTATTCAGAATAAAATGTTAACATGAAATATTAATAAAATATTAATTAGTATTTTAAGTAGTAACTCAAATATCTATCAGCCCACAATCCTAAAATATTTCTTCCACCAAAGGTCATGGGATTGTTTCCCAAAGTACCTCCAAGGCTTTCTGTGTGGGGTGCCCAGGATCCCAGTTAGAAACAAATATCCCCTGACTTAATCCACTCCAGGCTGATTCTCCTGGGGAGGAATCTGTGTTAACAAGCTCCCTCAACAGTTCTGATGTGTAAAATCAGAGTGTGGGGTCAGCAGTCCCATGGACCCACAGTTTCCTGAAGTACATAGGGAGTGAGGCCCAGCCAACCACTTGTCACTCTTCAAAACCTGAGTGGAAGAGGTGTGTGTGTGTGTGTGTGTGTGTGTGTGTATGTGTGCATTCATGTATGCAAGCATACAAGTGAGTGTGTGTGTGTGTTTGTGGGGCTGGAGGTCAAGTCCAGAACCTCGGACATCCTAGGCAAGCCCTCTATCACGGAGCTACATCTCAGTGCCAGAGTAACCTTGTGGTTTTCATTGGTCAAAAACCTCTAGGGCCTTGCTGAAGACACGTAATTCAGAAGAGGAGAAACCTTGGCAGCAGTGGGAACTAGCTACATAAAATACAAAAGATAGTACTTATAGACAACCCTAGTACTCCTGACCTACTGCAAGGGACAGGGTCAGACTCTTCATGCAGAGGGGGAGGGGGACACCCTGGGAGGGATGATACCAGCCATGTAGCACAGCACAGACCAGCAGCTCATCCTAGTTACGCTCCCTGCCTGGGTTTCTGTTCCCTCTCCACAAGAACAGGCCTGTTTCTGATGAGAAAAAGCACTGGGTTTGACCCCCATGTCCCTCTGTTGGGCAACTTCTTCAGGAAACAATCTGACCAAGAACTCCCCTGGTGTTCCTCTGGCTTAGCTCTTGATTGAACTGGGTATAAGAAACCCTGCCGGCTCCTGTCAGCTGCTGGACTAACTGCAGGATATCAAGGCCTGTGGTTTACGCACCTTGTATTTCTGGGATTTTCCCAGCACATTTGCCAAGGAGAACATAAGAGAGTGATCATTAGGAATTAATTCCAGCGCCTCTCTTCCGACCGCTTCCGCCTGGGCTAAATTACCTGGGAGGAGAAATGAAAACCACATCAATATCGTACTTGTGCCTTCAGGTCTCTAGAGAAGGACTTACATGCATTATACGTGATCATGAAGACACTACTCGAAAAGACCCAACCAGAACATGTGAGGACGCACCACAGCCTGGTGAATGGAAGAGCTGTGGTAACTCAGCTCAATTCTGACAGAAGAGGTAAATACCTTTCCATGACATTCTAGAAAGCCACGTTTAAATTTTCTCCCAGATACCAGTTATACAGTGATTTTTATCACATTATGTTCAGATATGTCAGAGGAAATTTCATTTTCTAGAAAGATGGACATTAGTATTATTGTGTGTGTCAGGGTATTGCATGTGCATGTGGTAAGAAGTCAGTATCCTCAAGCTCTCCACCTTACTTTTTGAGACAGGGACAGGGTCTCTCACTGAACTTGGAGCTTTCTAATTAGGTTAGTCTAGCTCGTTAGTGAACCCCAGGGATCCTCCTGTCTCTACCTCCCCAGTGCTGGGGTTATAGGTATTTGCCATCATGCCTAGGCTTTTCATGTGGGTACACAGGGTAGAGCTCAGGTCCTTATGCTTGCTCATATTCTACTGATTGAGCATCTTACCTGCCCCTATAAAAAAGACATTTTTGTAACACCGAGTAACACCATATTAATTTTCTTCCTCCCTTCCTCCCTTCTTCCCCTGCTTACAATCTCACTATGTCATCCTGACTGGCCTTAAACTCAGAGATCTGCCTGCCTCTACCTCCCAAGTGCTGGGATTAAAGGTGGGTACCACCACACCCATCTTATTTATTTTTTAAACTGAAGCAATAGCACTAGTCTCTATGCCCTGTTAGCCTGTGGAGATGACCCTGGTTTACATGCCCCGAGTGCCTGTGTGAATGACATTGGCCCACAGAACTGGATGGTGGGACACTCGTCATCTTGTTCTCCTTTGCACCTGTGTTGTCCAGGAGTATGATCATGTTGTTCCATGCCAGGCTGTGCTCCGGCTTCAGTACGGTGGCATTTCTCCATGCATTCAATGCATCCACATGGCGATTTAGATCTGCATACTGAAAACAAAATACCCCCCAAAGTCAATAGTCCAACTCTTCTGTCTTTTTCTCTTTCTACAATATTACTAACAAAGACAAAGTCCCATAAAACAAACAGGAACCACCACCTTACCTTCACTATGGAGCGTCTAGTTTTTCCTATCAACCCATGTACTTGAAAAAACTGCCCCAATGAAGTAGATGCTGTCACAACCCCCCTTTTATAGATGTAACAACTGAGGTGACAGGGACACGTGAGACCTGCTTAGCCACACATCTAGAGATGGAAGGTTGGGGATTAGAACCAGGTGGCCTGGGTCCTGATCCAAGAAGCATAACTGTATTACCTGTTATTTGCTGATCACTGTTATGAAATCACATTTCAAGCTACTGAAAAATACTATTTTTCTTCCTTTCCAGAAAGGCGCCTATAGTCCGTCTTTGATAAAGTATTATTTAGAAGAGTAAACGAGTATTTTATGTAACTAGAAAGTTGTAGTGGGCTGGGGAGATGGCTCCATGGGTCAAGTGCTTACCCATCCTCAGCACTCACACAAAATCCAGCCTGTTGGCACACACATGCAACCCCAGAACAGGGCAGGGGACAGAGACTGGTGGACCCCAGGAGGCTACTCACCAGCTAGTCTAGATGGAATGTCAAGGCCTGAAACGGCCAGAGACCTACCCTGCCTCAAAAGATGAGGAGGAGAGCCGGAGAGGAAGATACCCAAAATTGAGTTTTGGCCTCCATATGTGGACACACAGGTTCATCTCTCTCCTCTCCTCCTCTCCCTTCACTCTTTCTTCCTCCTCCCTCCTTTCCTCTCCTTCCTCTCCCCTCTCACACACCACAGAAGTGGGAGATAGGGGCGGGCTAGAGCACATACGAATGCTCTATGCCTAATTTACTTGTGAGGAATGGTTTGGAAACCTCTTATGAATAGGTAAACTCAAGATAAAAATACGAGCCATTCAGATATATTTTGGAAACTCCTTGGAAAAGATCCACACAGTCATGTAAAATCCCTCAGCAGTTTGGATACTCTTTGATGTTCGGGAAGAAGAGAATTGACTTTGCACATGTGACCACCTGCATGTGGGGCCCAAGTACATCTCATCTGAATGGACGCCTTCCCGGGAACTCTGCACAAAGTTCAAATGAAGAAGTCTACGACAGCTTAGGTGATTACTTTCCTGCTAACTAAGCACATTTTCCACTGGACAACAGAAATATGTTGACTTGTCCTATGGTCCACACAGCAAATAGGTGACATAAGGTTTAATGAATTATGAAAACATTTACAAATACCTTTTCGTTAAAGATGTCAGAATTTCTCAAATTTCTCATGAGGCTTAGAACAGCAGGTTGCAATATTTTATCCTTTAAAACCATTAGGAAATGGTATAAAAATCAAATAAATAGGGCTGCTTAAATACACTAAACATTAAACTTGGTCTCTGCATTGGATGTGTCTTCAGTTCTCCAGTGTGTAACACACCTGTGAGTCACCTGGACAGTCAGTGGTTCACACTGTAAACTCCTCCCACAACACAAGTCTTCTTTTTTCCAACACTTGGGAGAGTGGACCCTGTACCTCGACTAGGCAACCCCATAGAGCTGGCCCTAACGGTGCACATGTGGGAGAGCTGACCCCGAGGATGTAAAAGCAGAACTGGCTCCACCTCTAGCTCCACAACACAGGGCAGTAACAGGATATCCAGGAAGAGTCCTAGTGAGGGCCTAGCATCGATAGTGTAGTAGAAACCAGAGGCCTCGAACCAGACCAATGACTGCAATGAACACTTGCAAGCAAAGACAAGGGCTTTACTATGTGACTCACTGTGCCACACTGCAGCTTCCATGGTGAGAATTTTAATTTTTTCCCTTTTTAATTTTTTTCTTTTTTCTCTTAAATTTTGTCTTATTTGGGGGGAAGAGGTTGGATGTAAAGGGACAGAGAAATGAATGGGATAAAGAAACAAAAGGCACACAATAAATAAAGAGAAAAATAAAACTAAAACAGAGAGCCATGGTGATTTACTACTCAGCAGGGAGTAGAGGTGTTATTCACCTACCAGTCCTTCATGCGTCCCCTTTACCACTGACCCCTTGACACACTTTTGCCAGCCTCAGAAGGACAAGGTCAGAGAAGCACGCTTTTTACCCAACTCTCATCCTGCCCTTCTCCTGCTCCCCACCTCCCCTCCACTGTCCCAGGCCTGGAAGCAGTGGTCTTTCCTCCATATGGTAGCTTCTTCTGAGTTCAGTTCTCCTTCTATCCACATGCTTCCCCAAACCTATGGGTTTCCTTTAATTATTAATCTCTGCATCAATATATTTTGTTCTTCCCACAACTGTCTGACCAAGTCCTTCTAAGGCTTAGCAAATTTTCTCTTTTCTAAAGCCCATGACTGACAGAGATGACCAACTTCTGCACAGTGAACAGTCCCCAGCACTCCTCCAAGCCACTATGACCACCACCCTCAAGCACTATGTCCTAAATAACCCAGCTCTTCCTATTTCCTCTATAATTGCACAGTATCCTCTTCTTATCAGAGTCCACAAATCAAAGCAAGTATCTGTCTCCCATTATAAAAACATGACTTCTAAAACAGACACCTTGAAGTTATTAAATTCCTCTTATTTGCGGATATATAATTGGGCTGGTTGAGCTGTTAAAGATTAAGCCTTAATGCTTTTAAGCTGTCAAGAGCAAAAGCTGGATAATCAAACCACAATGCAGAGTAAGAACCTTATGCAACAGGCCCTGTGGTAACACCATTTCAGGGCAGCACAAGAGGTAAACAACACTGAGGTATCCATTGTTTCAGGGCTATGATGGATCATCCCAGAGAAAGCATCATGAAGTCCAAGACTAGAGTTCACCATCTAAGTTTGTATTTTATGTTCTCTGTTCTTGGATGCTATTCCTACTGGGGCTCATTTAGCATCAATTCTGTTTCCCAAATTCCAAGGAATAACAGTGACAGGCAGTGAGTAGAGAGGAAATGTAGAGTAGAACTTTAATGTGGAAGTTGCAGGTGGATATACTTGTTTTGCAAGCAATAACCTAAAAGGAGCTACCTCTAGAAGAGAGGAAACACCAAAGACTTCACTAGGACCAAATCTAATGTCATTTAAGTACTAGTTTAACTGACCCAGCAAACAGACAGTAACTCCACCTCCATGCACAGATTTAGGTGAACACATCTGCTCCCTCCAAGCAGCACTTTCTCCCTTTGTCAATTCTGAAGACTTGCCCTCCTTTGTATGTGACTGAGGTTTTGGTCTCTACTCACATTATCATGAGGCTTTTAAAGCGCCCTCCACCCCTGCATATCCCTAGATGAGCTTCAGTACTTCTTCAGCATAGAAGTTTGTATCATTATAAAGCATTCACTTTGAAATGTTAAAGCACACAGGGCCCAGTAGTCATGGAGACAGCGGATGAGGACAAGAGAACATCATGCTTGATCTTTGCTCAAATCTCTTGTTCCCTGGGGTCAGTCATGCTGCTGTCACCCCCTAGGGTGCCCTGGAGGAAGTAACTCCTGTTTTTAACACTGGAGTAGACTTTAGAGATGGTGTCTTCCTACTGTACTTAACAACTACAACAAGGTTAGTGTTTTTAAATAAAAATATGCAAGCCACGTCATTCTAAAATTTATGATATAAGCATTATCTGCCCACTTAAAGCGACTTGTCAGTGTCAGGGGCACAGAGGTCCTTATGCCCACAGGTTACTAGAGAAACCTGGTATGTAAAGCACAAAGGGGCCTCTTCTCAATGGAGGACATAAAATACATGTTCTCCTCCTACCCAGAAAGCTGGGAGTGGATTTTGTTAATGACCTGGTGACCTTTTTGCTATCTGTGGAGGCAAACCTCACCCACCTTTTTTTTTTTTTTTTTTTGGTTTTTCGAGACAGGGTTTCTCTGTGTAGCTTTGCGCCTTTCCTGGTACTCGCTTTGGAGACCAGGCTGGCCTCGAACTCACAGAGATCCGCCTGGCTCTGCCTCCCGAGTGCTGGGATTAAAGGCGTGCGCCACCACCGCCCGGCTCTCACCCACCTTTTGCTAGAGTCAGACCTCATTCAAATTCCCCAGAATGATTATCCCAGACTCTTCCCTCCCTAGACCATTACCCATGCTTAGGGTAGATGTCACATGCACTTTATGGCCTGCTGACCTCTATGCTATCGGTCAGAGACCACACTAGATTCTAGGCCTTTCAGCTATGGAACATACCCTCAAGGTCACATACTCTCTGTAAAGGAGTTTCTATGTAGTCATTCCTTAAGCTTTATTGTGCGCTTGGAATTGGACTGATTGTTGCCTGCAAACCTTTTCCCAAATACGCTGACAGTGAACCGGCTGGCATTAGACTCCTGGAAGTCTGATCCAGGTTGACATCTCTTGCCCAGGTTTGCTTCCCTGTATGATGCCTGCAGGGACCCCCTCAGTCTATCATGAGAAAGTCAGTCCTACTGCTCATTGCCATGTGTCTCACCATTTTATTTCCTCTGTTCATTCTACCTGTGCAGTTCACAAAATCCTGGCACGTCATTCCAGAAAAAACACATTAAAGGCCAAAGTTATTTCTTTCATGGTAAAAATTCAACTTCCTATTAAAAAAACCCAAATGTCCAATGTTTTTTGGGTTGCCCTTCTGCTTTGACATGGTCTTCAGGTCAAAGTTCAGAGTTCAGGGAGGTCTGCTTCCCAGAGACAGGGGGATATTTATTATCTTTGATAGAAAATACAAATGTTATATGGAACTTCTGAATTATCAAATATGAGTTGAGGTGGTTATTTGGATGAGTAAAATAATGTGGGGCAACTACTGGTTTTGTTTACACAAGGACGGCATAAAATGAAAATGCTTCAGGGATTTCAAATGAAGATAAACAAGCTTTTTTCTTTTTTTTTTTTAAAGAGCCTGTGGATGCTACCTACTTGTGAAGCTGTACACTCTTTTTTAATTGTCCCATCACTGTGCATACAATCCAGTTTGACTCAGATGGACAAAAAGTATTTCTCTTATCAATTTCACCTAGTAAATCTAATGACTCCTGTTTAAAGAATTATGCTGTTTGGGTCATTATTTTCTTTGTCAAGAAAATTAAGAGCAATCAGATTGCCTTAAATATTCTGTCAACAACCAGAAATATAGATTAATTCAAACATCTTACTTTCTATTTCCATTAAGTAACTGCAAGGCCCTTTCAGATAAATGCTCTAACCAGAATGTCCCCTTGCAAAAGAAGAGACCTGCTCCCTTGGGGAAAGAGAACAAGGAAGCTCAGAAATCAGTTACAGGCTTGTTTTTAAATCTTACGTTTCTATTCAATCCATGTTTTAAAAACAAAACAAAACAGAAAAAAAACAATGTTTATCGGGAAGTGAGCCCTTGGAGTATGTTTCCCAGGGCAGAGGGATATACAGAATTTTCATTTAATCTATTGTCTTTGTGATACTTTAGCAGTACATACAAGGAAATCAGATCACTACTTTGAAATGAGATAAACACATACGGACTTTTATAATGTGGAACGTCCTGGAGGCGTGTAAGAGGGCTCTGTTTCAGGTGATGGAAACTGGGGCAGCCTGCCCTTACCAGCCGCCCAAGGTTGTAGTAGCAGTCTGGGTATTTCCGCCTGTGTTTAATTGCTGTCCGGTAGCTTTGCTCTGCCGCCTCGAACCGTTTCAGGCTATTCTGAACTATGCCCAAATTCATCCACGCAGCTGCAAAGTCTGGCCTGGAAAAGCATATTTTACAAAAGATAAACAAGAAAAAGAGAAGATTAGATGACTGCCCAAATCCAGAGATGCACTCTTTGTCCTTGGCAGAAAGCTAAGAAAAAAAAAACGCTTACTGAATTTGAACAGCCAATGACAGCAGCGCTTCTGCTTCCTGGAGCTCATTCCTTTCTTTTAAGATATTCCCAAGGTTATTCATGGCATGAACGTACTTGGGATTTAGTCTGGAAATGGAGGGAAAAGCCAAACAGACTGTTACTGCTCATCTGTTTTCACCCAACACTTAGAAATCAGCCAAGATCAAACAGTCTTTCAGGGAAGAGTCTTCCTTCTTTCAGGGAAGAGTCAGGCATCTCGGAAAGTGAAGATCCACGCACACATGTGTGTACCTGACTGCTTCCCGGTAATATCTGATGGCCGCTGTTTGGTTGCCTTGGTCAGCCAGGTTTTTGCCAATGTTGTAGTGAACCTGAAAACACAGGTGACAATTTGGCTATCAGCACATAGACTTCTTTGTTCAGAGCCGGACATATAACGAATCTTCTAACTGAAGACAGAAGGGAAAGGAATTTAAAACAAAAAAAAAAAACCCAAAAAACATCCGCAAGAACTAAAAGGCCCTATGGGGGGTTGGACACAGGCTCATGTAAGAAGCTGTAAGAACAGACCACAAGTCAGGGGGCAGTAAGCAGACACAGCTGTGAATGTGACAGGAAGGAAAATGGCTGTATCACCCCCAGAGAAAACCAGGAAGTCACAAAACTAAGCTGTCTGCGAAGCCCCATGCCCTCCTCTCTCACAAGCCAGTCATCTGCAGACCCGAGACAGAAGTAATAGTTCTATCATTTGCCCAAATCCAGTCCTTTCTGGTCCCACGTATTCTTCAGGGTGCACTGCAAGCATTTTACCCCCTGCATCATGAGTGGGGTGTTTTTGTCCCCATCCCCAAATTCATACAACGGCATCCTAACTCCTGACCTGAGGAGTTAGACGGTGGGGACTTTGGAAGGTGAATAAGTCATAAAGGTGGGTCTCCCTCACTTTCCTAATCATGTTAGGGTCTCATTGAAAAGATGGCTGTCCCTGAACCAGAAGAGGGTCCTTCCCAGGCACCACTACTCACAGGTGCCTTCACTGTGGGCTCCCTAGCCTCCACAGTGTTGAGAAGTAAAAATCTACTATTTAAACCCAGTCCACAGTGTTCTCTTATGGCAGCCTAAACTAAGAAGGTACCAAATAACATCGACCATCCCTCATCCTTCAGGCAGTGATGGATGATGACTGAGTAAGGCACTGTACCAGCAGCTGGGGACAACATGGGGGCAAAAGCCCAAAGTCCTGTCTCACAGCACCCCTGGCTAATCACCAAACTACTACCTCGGTACCCATGTCACTGCGCAGGAAAGGGTATGTCCTAGTTTCAGAGAGCCCAAGGAAAAGTCCTAGCTACTAGGGAAAGGTTTGCCATGGAGGATGCCCTGGGAAGAAGAGGCAACCCATGCAGAGTGCAGAGATGAAAGGAAGCCGATATTGGGACAGAAGGCTGAGGGTTGCTGGAGTGCTGAGGGCAGGGATTCACATTGGCCAGGAGCAGCTAGGCAACAACAGGTTGTTGAGGCACTGCTTGAGAGCAACAAGGTCAGTGTACTTGGGCTGTCATGGCAAGATGCCACCAATTGGGCATCACAAAGCACTGCTGGTCTCAGTTCTAAAGTCTAAGCCTGAGGGAGAGGCTCTTCCAGCCTGGCTTCTGTCTGTGGGTGTTTGTTGGTGATCAGACACCTGCTGCTGTTCACACACCATCCCACTTCTCGTCTCCATGTCTTTTCTCTACCCTGATGTAAGTCCTGTCTTCCTGCTTCCCTTTGGTATAACAAAATGCTACAGGCTGCCAATTTTTAATACAGAAATGTATTTTGCTCAGTTTAAGAGAGAGACTGTGAAGTCTAAGGGGTGGGGGGTTGTCCCTGATGATAACTCAGAACACAGTGGAAGCTATCATATGATAGGACAGTGGGTGTGTGTTATGTGTTCTGGCATTTCCTTCGGAGAAGGTCACTTCTGGTTTACTATAACAGTGTGCAGGCCAAGTCTCTCCTTATGGAGCCACATCCTCATGTCTTCATCAAGCCTCCACTGAGGGCTGGCAGCAAACACCTTTACCTACTAACTCACCTTGTTGGTCTTAAAAAGGTTAATTTATATGGTGAGAGTTTTATGTACATTAAGAATGAAAGACAAGCCGGGCGGTGGTGACGCACACCTTTAATCCCAGCACTCAAGAGGCAGAGGCAGGCAGATCTCTGTGAGTTTGAGGCTAGCCTGGTCTACAAAGTGAGTTCTAGGACATCCAGGGCTATGCAGAGAAACCCAGTCTTGAAAAACCAATAAACAAACAAGAATGAAAGAGAACATCTGTGGTGGTATTGTGTTCCCCAAAATATTGTGCACCCTAATAAACTTATCTGGGGTCAGCGAACAGAACAGTCACTAGATACAAAGGCTAGAAAATGGTGGCACTCACACCTTTAATCCTAGCATTCCAGAGGCAGAAATCCCTCTGGATCTCTGTGAGTTCAAGGCCACATTGGAAACAGCCAGGCGTGGTGACTCACGCCTTTAATCCCAAGAAGTGAGCCTTTAATCCCAGGGAGTGATGGCAGAAAGCAGAAAGGTTTATAAGGCGTAAAGACCAGGAACTAGAAGCATGTGGCTGGTTAAGCTTTCAGGCTTTCGAGAAGCAGTTCAGCTGAGATCCATTCTGGATGAGGATTCAGAGGCTTCCAGTCTGAGGAAACAGGATCAGCTGAGGAACGGGTGAGATGAGGTAGCTGTGGCTTGTTCTGCTTCTCTGATCTTCCAGCATTCACCCCAATAACTGGCCTCAGGTTTGATTTTATTAATAAGTACCTTTAAGATTCCTGCTACAATAATCATTAATGAGTAAAGAAGGCATTTGCAAAGAAGACTGAAGAAACAGGACTCATGGTTGAAAATCAACGAGAAATTCTTAACCATTTTTGAATGAGGACATCTGGAGGGGGGGCGATGCAGAGTATTTTCTTATGCATGGTCTCAGAATATATTGCAGAGAAATATCAGGTGTGGTAGTGCATGCCTGCAATGCTAGCACTTGGAAAGCACTGGCAGAAGGATCAGATTAAGTCATCTTTGGCTACACAGAAAGTTCAAAGCCAGTTAGGGCTACTTGAGACCTCATCTCAAAAACACCAAACAAAAACAAACAAAAAAAGGGAGCTGGGACCTAGACTTGAAAAACAGGATGGCCTTGGCCCGAGAACATCATCCGAGGTCTCAACTGACAATCCAAAGCTCTTCCCAGAACCATAAAAAACAGAGGTAATCCCAGGACGGGATGAACACCACCATACATCACCTCATACTGAGGGCCACCAAGATCTGACATGCTCCTGGCCAATACCTTCTCCCCACAGCAGTTCGGAGCTGAGGGAGTTGCCTCCCCTTCTGAGCTGATAAGCTGCTTTGGTGTTAAGCATCTTATTAGAAACTGTGAGGCTGCATCTGAACCCCATTTCCTAAGCCCAGTTCTTACCACAGTACACCTGCTTCCCAGGTGCTGGGTGAAGATGCTGATTGTTCTAGGCCACTTGGATGCCTCATCACACTGTCTACTTCTCTTCTTGACACCAACTGCTGTCCTTCTGTGATGTGTCACCGACAGAACATAGTCCCTCAGTGTTTACACAATGAGCCCAGGACCTTTTAATGTGATTGTGAAGACCTGGCCTTTAAGGTGTAATCAGGAGAAGTGAGGTCACACAGGGAGCCCCAATCCATTCTGACTGGATACAGACAGAGAAGAAGGCTGTGCACAGGAACAGCCACACGAGGACACATGGAGGGAGAGGCCTCCACAGAAAGCAGCCCTGCTGGCACCTTCGTCTTGGAGGTCTAGCCTTTAGAACTGATCTCGGTTGTTGCAGGCTCATGGTCTCAGGCATTAGGCAGTGGTGACCCAAGCAAATGGATGAATTCAAGCAGGGATGGAGTGCTGTGCTCTGAAAATGAACCCATCCTACACTGTTAGTTTCAACCCAGTTACAGCACTGCCTCAGATATGCTTGGATTTCTGGAAGGGTTCAGGGCAGTGTGCCATTCTATAAGCTAGTGTGTTACAGATTCCTTTCACAAAGTCAGTTCTAAAATAATTACATTTGTATTTACCTAGTTCAATGAAAGAAATCCGAAGCAGAGAAATGTTAGGTTGATGTAATACTCCTGAGCACCACCTTCCTCACCACACACACACACACACACACACACACACACACACACACACACACACACACACACACACACGAGCGCGCGCACACCAGAAACTTCCTGGACCACAATACTATCCATTCATAGGTATTTTCATTTTTACATTACAGCTTGGAAGCAGTTCAGTACACGCTATTGCCAGAGCAGGCGATAGTATTTGTGGCCTCATCCATTCCATGCAGAAAGAATGGGAAGCTAGAGCGTGCCGCCCAGAGGGATGTCCTCCTGGTCACCAGGACACAGACACAGCTTCGACTCAGACGTCAGTATGGCTCCCGCCTCTTCTGCCCACAGCTCCTGCTGCTTTCCTTTGTTCTCTCCATAAACTGCCCTCAAAAAGAGTTCAGCTGCCCTCTGCAGCATGGTCAGGGTTCTGCCAGACACTGAGAATGCCAGGCCAGAATCCTAGGGGAGGGGACAGGCCACTGTGAAAAGCTGGATAGCAGTTATTTAAACAGAATGAGTCAGAAATCTGATTCAGACCTAGAAGTCAGTCCAAAATTAAGAAGACATTCTCACTCTATGGATTCAACAGGGAATTCTGTGAAAAGAAAACATCTGTCTGGAGTGGGCCAACCACTGCAGAAAACAAACCGGACACCCACGCTACTGTTGGTGGTGTTTAAAAATGAGAGATTTTCTTTATCGTGGTATACAAAAGACTGAGAGAGGCCATTTATCCAGCTTTCCCCCAGCCTTTGTACCTCATATGCTGAGACAATGAAGCCAGATTAAAACAGCCACAGCCACCAAATGACAGTTGCATGGGAAAAAAGTAACAGCATCCACAATGAAAGGCACTTTTAATACCGTTGCTTTAGAAACTGGCTATTTCAAATATTCTGCCGACGTTGAGGACTGCTAAACCTAAAATGTTTAAACACAGAAAAATTCAGTAATCATCCTTAAGGAAATACCTTGGGGTAGTATATGGTCCTTTCATTGTTAAAATAATTTAGAACTGTATCATGGGGTTGATATTAAAAGCAACATATGTTTAAGCCTTAAAAACTAAAATGACTGCCAATAAATTCAGTGCTTGGAATCTCACACACGGTACGCTTGATGAACACAATTTCCATTTGGCCCAATTCAATAACTAATATTAGGCACTTACCACATGCAAGGCACTGTGGGTAATTTCAATGCAGGCCAGGGACCAGTACTACCTATACTGATATCTCAAGCTTTCAAAGTTAAAAAAAAAGAGAATCTCGGTTTATAAATCTGGGTCTGAACAACAGTCAGGTGCCAACTGCTTACTTAATACTCAGAGGCAGAAAATGAATCCCCTGGAAAAGGATGGAAAGGACACAGCAGTTTCCAAAGGGAGCATTCTTTCCTGAGATCAACACAGCTTTTTGAAAAAAAGACAATTTGACACTTCAGTGTATAAAGGAACATTTAAAACCGAACAGAAACTCTATCTTGCTTACATTAAATGGCATTGAGAAAAGCTCTGGAGAAAGATGATTATCATAGTAAACTGGCTTGAAGCTGAGGTCTTTATGCACACCCTAGTTAAAAAGAGAAACAGACATACTCGTGACCATGTGATGCCCATGTGTATACTGTCTGGTTTCCAGTCTATTATGGCTGAATTCACATGCTGATAAGATCTTCAGGCCAAGACAGCAAATATATGCCATGTCCCTTGTTTACTACGTCACCTGGGCACAGCAAAACACCAAGCTGGATTTCTACCCAGCCACTCAAATTACCAACCTAAATAGTGCCAGCTACCCCTTTCTATGCCTCAGTTTATCTCATCTGGGAAAATGAAGCAATGCCCTCTAAGTCCTTAGCAGGAGGATAATGGGATTAATGATAACGCCTTGGGTAGAGACTGGAGCTCCCCACAGTGAGGAACTATATAAACAGAATGGGCAATTACTGCTGTCCATGCAGGGAAGTAAATGTAAAGAGAATCTTACATCTATGAAATTAAACTGCTAATAAGGTTCATTTACAAAAGATAGTGATTGCTCAGCAAAACAAAGATAAAAGCTTGAAGTAAATCACTTTTTCTAAGACTCTTAACTATGAAACATGAGTGACCAAAACAAACAAACAAACAAAACCCAAAAGGACAAGCAAGGAGTCACAGCTTTCATAGACTTGTCTTCACTTTGGGGTCATAGTAAGATGTGATGTGCTCACTAGTTTTCTCTATATAACTTTGTTTGGAAATTACTGCTTTCCTTAATATAGAATATAGAATTGAGAACTTGAGAAAACTCCCTTGTGGTTGATATATTGTGTATCCTAATAAACTTATCTGAGGGTCAGAGAACAGAACAGCCACTAGATAGACATAGAGGCCAGAAAATGGTGCACACACACCTTTAATCCTATCACTTGGGAGGCAGAGTTCCATCTGGATCTCTGTGAGTTCAAGGCCACACTGGAAACAGCCAGGCATGGTGACACACACCTTTAATCCCAGCACTTGAGATCTCATGTCTTTGCTTGGGAAAGACTCACACCTTTAATTCCAGGAAGTGATGGCAGGAAGCAGAAAGGTATATAAGGCATGAAAACCAGGAACTAAGGCCCTTTAAGCTTTGAGGTTTTTAGCAGCAGTTCAGCTGAGATCCATTTTGGATAAAGACTCAGAGGCTTCCAGTTTGAGGAAATAGGATCAGCTGAAGAGTTGGTGGGGTGAGATTAGCTGTGGCTTGTTCTGCTTCTCTGATCTTTCAGCATTCACCCTAATAGCTGCTTCCGCATATTTCATTTATAAGACCGTTTAGCAATTCGTCTACACTCCCCCATTCAGGATCCATTCACACACTCCAGGCAATTCCAATCAAATGAGCTAAGGCAGCTATCAGTATGACACAATAATCTGTATACTAACAGGAGACTTCTACCTTAGAGTCTTGGCCCAACTTCAGCCAATGGAATTCTCTTCTTACTGTTCAGTGAAGCCAAATGAACATGAAATCTCAAATGCTAACATTTCCAGAGCACCTACTATGTGCTGACCACTGTGTTATGGTGTCATCATTCACTCCACAAGAAACCTAGCAGGAAGGCGTTATTCCTTACAAAAAAGAACCCTGAGAGTTTGCACAGCTGGGTAAGTAAAAAGCTTAGATTTAACCAAAAATACAAGTGACATAAATCCCCTCTAGATCTCTCCAACAAAAACACTGCCAATTTTAAAAGCACATACATCCATGCTTATCTAATCCGGCAAGAGGCCTCATCAAGCAGAGAACTCAGGGTGATATGCATGGGGACCAGTGAGCAACCATCTATTTTAAAGTTCCAAGCCTATTCACAGGTATTGCCATCTTCATATTGTAGCTAGAAGGAGGCCAGCTCCTGTAGTGGGTAGCCATTCCAGCTTTGGTCTGGAAGTTCCAACCCCCATTGAGGCTTCCGTAACTATCACGCCTATAAGGCGGGGCCAAGAGAGGGCCCTGAAGACCCAAGATCCGGATGTGGCGCCCTCTCTTGATTCCCGGACCCTGGATGATAGACGTAGACCGAACAGAGTTCTCTAGAGAACATCGCCGGACTGTGCTACGTCTTCCCCAGACCCTGTAGCCTATCCCTTCATTTGTGAGTTACCCCACAAAATAACCTCCCTTTTAACTACGTGGAGTGGCCTGAATAATTTCACCAATAAGCTCCTATCACCAGAGTGTGGATTCTGAAAGGTGTGCTCTGAAAGATTAGGAGAGGAGCTGTATGCAGCCCTAGCCTGGAGATGAGACACCCCTCCCACTCCCAGTCTCTTCAAAGTGAGGAGACAACAGGAACTGGAGGTTGGACACAACTTTAAATACTGCTTGGTTTTAATGATTTCTTTTGAATATAATAATTTCTTTTAGCTAAATATATGCAATCATAACAAGTTCACTAAAAAAAAAAAAAACCCAAATATCTGATGATGGTTAACACTATTGACTGCTCCATGGGAAATGTTCTTACTCTGCTGGAGGACTTACATCTTCCAGTAAAGTGTTCTGAGGAGGAATCTAGTGGGCAAGGTACCTTAGCATTGAGGGGACACACAGACAGGGCACTTCGAAAGAGCCGGTCTTCGCTCCGCCACTCGCCACTGCGAACCACACATCTCAGTGCATTGATGAGGAGAATGCCCAGGATAACAGCGGCAACTGGTTTCTGAACAGAGTTGGCAGATGTCATAGTAAGCAACATGCGGTGGTTATGGTAATGGCGGCAGCACTCTGGGTCGGTATATTTTTCTTTTCTTTTTGGTGTATACACATGTGTGGTGCATACACATGGGGTACACAGGGGATATCAAGTGTCTTCCTTCATCACTCTTCACCTTACTTCTTCAAGATGGGGTCGCTGAACCCGAAGCTGGCTATTTCTGCTAGGTTGCTGGACAGTGAGTTCCCAGGATCTGCCTGGCTTAGAGCTCTCAAGCATGGGGTTACAGGCATGCAAAGCCATGGCAGGCATTTTACATTAGTGCTGTGGTTCAAGCTCCTTACCCACAGACTCATCTCCCCAGCCCCATGGTACCTTTTTCTTAGTGTGTCTGCTTAGGGCTCCAAATCCAAAGGTTAGCAGCATGCAGTACCCAGCGCTGGGGAGGTAGAGGACACGCTCTGCGACCACGAAGCCCACTCGGAAAAACAAATTGCTTGCAGGAAGGAAGGGAATCACAAGAAATCCCAGACCCAGAGTAAGGATTCTGGAAGATGAAAAGTATTTACATAAACAACTAGTTTTGGACTTTTCAAGAAAAGCTCCTCACAAGACATAAGCAACAATAAAGACTGTTCCTTGTTTCTTGCCATCAGTTTAGAAAAGACATTAACAAGGAAAAAGACATCAGTAGAGGGAGTTAGCTGACAGCACAGAGCGAGGTACTCAGGAGCCAGTACGTGGGAGAAACATCCAAATCATACGCTTGTATCAATAAAGTCAGAAAGATTACATTTAATCTATTCCTGGATTAGTGAACACTGGTCCCCAATAAATCCATGTAGTTTTTAATATGACTCCCCCCCACCAACCAGTACAATATAGAAATAGATTAAACTTTGTAAAATTTGAAAGAAAAAATTATCGTTTTTTTTGTTACTATGTCACAACCAGTAAAGCACAAACACAGTATCTGTGAAACATGTCTAGCATCTGCAGACCATGTTTATGGAGAGACTATGTCTCTGTCTCACATGCAAAGGAGCAAATGAAGAAATGAGGTCACATTTGGTGGCTTCTCTGGGACCCCGTGCTTTACAGTATTTTGTTTTAAATTCTATTTCACATGTATAAATGAACCAATTGGGACTAAAGTTTATTGCTCTTTAGAATCAACCTATTTAAGGACACACATAAGTAGAAAACATTAATTTATTTTGAGAAATTACTCATTTAATATCATGTGCACTTAGGCTTTGTGGAAATCACCTTAAACGGTTTTCATTTTCATGGAACATATTTGTTTTCTCCAATTATTTCCTCAATAACCCTTTGCAAAAGACCTCTTAATCTGTTGAAAAAGTCTAATATCTCTTTGGGGCTACAACTTATTTTGTGCCCGACAACAGAAAGGATCAGCACAGAATTTGCAAGGGCTTCTTTGAAGAAGAACTGTGAAATAATGGACCCAACACACGTCAATTACACCCTCTGTTCTGACCATAAATTACACTTTACCTCCTACAGCGAGATCTCCAAGTGCTACTTGGGGGGCGGGGGGCACACAGCCACCAGTCTGCTGCTCCTCCAACTTCCTTTCCTACGAGTTGCAGCCAGTCATTATTCCCACCTTGTAGCCACACATTCAGAACAAATGTCCTTAGATATCCTATGCACAGAGCTACTAAAAGTGACGGGCACTGGACTCGGCAAAATGCTTCTGGGTGGAAGTTAGAATTCCATGCTGCCTCTTACCTTCTCTTGCAGTTATCTTCAGAGCACAGAGCTTGGAATATCAGGCCAATTAGGCAGAGCCAAAGTGCCGCTAGAGCAATTACCCTACAGTCACCGACTGATTTAATGAGGGGGATGCAGCCCATCGACCAATCAAAACACAGCCACCAGGGACACAGCAGCAGCCAGGCATTCAATGAATAGTAGTAATTATAGTTTATGGCCTGTCAATCAAAAGGAAAACAAACACTTACTTGACGCTGAACTTGAAAGAACACATCTATCCTAACCTCACTTCCGAGGTATTCATAAGCTCCTGTTCCAGGAAGCAGTTGTGTAAAATGAAATACTGGCCATTTGTATTCTGAGTAGAGGACTGTAATCTGTAATTTATTAACTGCATACAGATTTTAATACTTTAAAAATACAGCCAAGCCACTGGGCCAGGCAATGCCGGTGTTGTATTTCTGGCTAGGCTATGGCTCATTTACACAGTATTACCTAATGCCTCTGACATGGTTAGGCCTTGGTGTCAACAGTGTACCCAACAATTTAAAAATAGAGCTCAGCCCTGAGTAGTCTCTTGATTTCTCACTGCAAAGTGCACAGCTAGGAATCTGGCTTGAGATCTTTAGAAAAACAGGCGAACCTAAGTGAATAATCTTGATACTGTCAGACTCCTGTAATACCATTGTGCTATTACGTTTTGTCCTGATTCAGCCATGCCAGTTTCCCTGCCGCAACAGAAATGGGGTCAGAAAGCACGTTAGTAAGATGGGCATCATCATAGAAGGGGCTGCTTTTCCTTCTTTTCATGAAAGGAATCATGGTTGGTCCTCTCTTCTCTGTGGGCCTGAATCCACAGATTCCACAAACCCAGAATTTAACCACAGATTGAAAATATTTGGAAGAAAAAATTTTCAGAAAGTTCCAAAGTCCAAAGCCTAAATCTGCTGAGCAGTGAGGGCTTCACTGAATCATGCAAGAACAGAGACCAGGCATTGTGTTAGCTACAGTGTAGAAGCTGGGGACAGTTTTGAGCATAGGGGAGATGGGTATAGGTTATATGTAAACACTCTTACCTTATTAAAAAGACCTGGTTTTTGGAATTATGGGGAGCTCTTGAAACTAATTCCCCATGGACACCAGGAGATAACTATATAAAAACCCAACACATATCCTTCCCAACAGCATAATAAAAAGTTGGCTTTATCTTGATAACAGTAAAACAGGATGTATCCATTTATTAGGGACTTGGGAATGTGGTGGTGGGCGGAGATGAAGACGGGGAAGGATGAAGGATCTAATGGCAGTGGTACTCAATCTTCCTAACACTGAAACCGTTAATACAGTTCCTCATGTTGTGGTGATCCCCAACCATAAAATTATTTTCATTGCTACTTCATAACTGTAATTTTGCTACTGTTATGAATCACAATGTAAATATCTGATTGCAGGATATCTGATATATGACCCCTGTGAAAGGGTTGGTTACCCCCACAGGGGTTGAGAACCACAGATTGAGAACCACTGGTTCTCTACAGATGATGGGGAAAGAAAATAATCAAAAAGAAGTCCAGGCTCAATACTTACCCTGACCAACATGCTGTCTGCAAAGGAGGCTGGATTGTCCACCTCAGTAAATGCCGGTGGACCTGTACCCATGATTTTCCAGCGTACATAGAGCATGCCGGTGCCTCCGAAGGTAAGCAGGGTCATTCGGAAGAGGAGGCCTCCATTCCTGAGTGTGCCAATGTTCTGAAAGGACACCACGAAGTTCCTGTCGTTGAAGACTTTCAACTAAAGCACAGCATGTAATCCCAAGTATTTAGGAGGCTGAGACAGGAGTGTGGATACCTTGGGCCATATAGTCTGCCTGGAGGCTATACAGAGTTCAAGTCCAGCCTAGGCAACTTAGTAAGACTGGTTCAAAATAAAAAGTAGAAAAAAGGGCTGGAGACATAGGTTAATCACAGGGCACTTACCTAGAATGATGGAGGCCCTGGGTTTAATCCCCAGTGTTGCAAAATAAATAAACATGCCAACCCCAAGTATGATTATTCTACCTAAACCATTTGACACAGTGCATTAAAAAGCTGCCTACTTTAGAATTCAAACCATAAGAAATACTTGGAAAACAGCATTTTAAATTGGCTGGTACTTGACATTTTCCACGTCTGGGCTCAGGGTGAAAGCATGTAACTCACCTCTAATGACTTGTCCTTATGTAGTACCTTCTGGACAGTTTCCAGGATGTTGAATTTGCCTATCACCAGGATATCGAACACAGCATTCAAGCCCTAAGAATCAAAGTCTCAGTTAGTCCAGAGAGCCTGGCTCTGATGGGCCAGAAATTATAGTCACATTTTCATTATTTAACCCAGATAAGAAATGTGAGGACGACCATGGACAAACTCCCAGGTATTTAAGAACAGCCACATGTTTGGATGAACCTAACCCACAGTGTGAACTCCACCAGTGATAATCTAGCGAGTCCCTGGCAGTAATGATCCCATGGCCTACATGTAGGAGCACTGTAAGATTCAGGATAGCTGAAGCTTGGGGGCTCCTGTGAGAAGCTCCTGTCTTTGTTCCCTCCCTCCTTGTCTATAACTGAAAGAGTGGTCAGCTACCTGGGCAATAACTCAGCATAAACAGAGAACATCAACCATCAATCTCACCAACCCAGCCTTGTACATAAACTCCAACTGGCTGACTGAGGCCTGATGAACAGGGCAGACACACATCACTCTCTGAAGGAGAGCTCTAACTGTCCACTCATGTTTTCTGTTCCCTGGGCACAGGGCTGGATTCCATCCCCAAGTCTGCCCTGCAGAGAAGAGAATCCAAGGACAGGTCAGGTCACGTGGGTGGCATATGGAGCGCCAGAAGAAGTGAACCACTCCTCTGTAGCTTTAGTTTAAAAGCTGGACTCTCTCCTCTCTGTGTCCCCTTCCTTCTGGCTGTGGCACAGCTGCTAAAGCGACTCTTGACGCTGCATATAAATGATGCTAATGCATGCACAAGCAAGCCTCCTTAGATACTGTGTAGAACTGCTCACTGTTGTTAAGTGAACAACGAATGACCTGTGTGAAATCACTGGGTGGCTCCCATGGCTCTGCCTACACTAATGGCTCCCGCAACACCATGATGGTCAGGCTGTTTTGACAGCCATTCAAAGTGTACTACGCCTTGGATCTAGTCTTTACTCTGTGGATGACTTCAGAAGGCAGTATCATCTACTGGAATCCACTGCCCAATCTACCTAATGGGGTCAGAACATCCAGTATGTCTGGTGAAAGCTGCCCTTGCATGACTGGGCCTCTTTTTAATATGGGGTTTTGTGGCAAAGAAGATCAGGGGTCATCAAAGCCAGTGGTAATTTGTGGTTTTCAGAGCAAGGATGGCCCTGCTACTGAACCCTCTCCCACAAATGCTGGGAGCCACTAATTATCCAATCTGCAGGCCACTGCCGGGTTAAACATTTCAAAGAATACTGATTTTATTCACTCATGTGACACGCGATCATCATGGGTCACGGAAGACCATCTCTGCTTGACTGTAAACTGTTTTCCAGAAGACAGAAACTCCTTGTCTGCTGCTACTACCTTCTCACACTGTTTACTTCTCCGCCTGGAGCTGTGGGACTGCCACTGAAGGGTAACAGAATCATGTGATCAGGAGGGCTGAGCCAAACACAAGATTGGTACTCACTTCTCTGTCCAAGTTAGAGGCACCATCAAAATGCTCAGAGTCTATTTAAATCCAACCTAATCTTCAGCGCTTCTAATGTGTTAATAATTCTGGAGAAACCTGCAGACCTAGCTAAATGGGATTCCTACTCAGCAGGTCTGAGGAGGGGGCAGAGACCCTGAACTAGCCAGCTCTGGGATGCTGCTGTTGCTGTGGATACCACTAGTCCTCAAGCACACTTGATATTAGTATCAGGTTTCAGAGCAGCAGCCTGCACTAGGATGTCTCTGTCAGAGGAGTGCCTAGCAACCTCCACAGGCATTTTAGGACAACTAAGGGATTCTTATTGGCTTCTACTGGCTACAGGTAGGGATGCTGCTAAATGACTTCCAATGCATAGGACTCCCCTGCCACAAGAATCAGCTGGCTTATTAAAATATCCACAGAGACAAGGTTAAGAAAAACAATTGAAGGCTGGAACTCATGCTGTAGCCCAGGCTGATCTGGAACTTACTATGTAGCCCAGGCTAGCTCCAGACAGGCAATCATCCCAACTCAGTCTCCTGAGAACCGAGATGACAGGTTTGAGTCACTATGGCTAGTTTCTAAAGTAAACATTAAATAAAAAACTAACTCAGGAGACTTAAGCATCTTTAAAAAACCAAACCAAACCAAAACTGCTCGGCGGTAGTGGTACATGCCTTCAATTCTAGCACTTGCAATCTCTGAGTTCAAGGCTAGCTTGGTCTACAGAGCGAGTTCCAGGACAGCCAGGGCTACACAGAGAAACCCTGTCTCAAAAAACCAAAACCAAACCAACCCCTCCCCCCAAAAAAAACCCCAAACCAAAATAAATAAATAAATAAATAAATAAATAAATAAATAAATAAATAAATAAATAAATAAAACCACACAACTTATTTATTTTATGTATATAAGTATTTGCCTATGTGTGTAAATGTACCACACTCATGCTTGGTGCCCACAGAAGTTCTCTTGGAACTAAAGCAAGCAGTTGTGAGGTGCCAGACGTAGGTGCTGGGAGCTGAACCTGAATCTTCTGTAAGAAGTGCTTTTAATCACTGAGCCATCTCTAGCTCGAGACTTAGGTATCTTTACACAGTAATTCTTCATCACATCCGTGCTTGCTAACCTCTGCCTTATAGACAGAGCTCGATAAAATCACTAATCTTTGCTTTGACTTGTATCAAGCCTCGTATTCTGACTGTTCTTTCTCTCCCAACCTATTCCTGTGTGGTCACTCAACTACCACGTTTCACTTTTCATCTCTTGGCTCGTATCCTTGGTTTCTAAGCTTTCCTGTAATGATACAAGGCCAAGAAAGGCTCTATGGGAGGAGGAGGGAAGTGGGCTTTTTAATATGTCTCTGTTCCTCAGACTTAATCCCAGCTTCTATTCATATGAGATCTAGAAGTATGTGCCCACCAGCTTAGGGGAGCCCTCTCCTGCCTACTTTAGCGTTGGCAGTTGAGGCTGGACAGAATAACACATTCAGCACTTAGCTCACTAGCATCCATGTTATTTAATGACTAGTTTTCTCTCCCAATAATAGACTCACTGAGCATTTGCTCTATGAACATGGCTTTTCTTGTATTTTACTAAACAGAATGTATCCCACAATTTAAAAACAGTGAAGATGATACATGTACTATATATACCCACAGAAACTTCAATTCTCAGAACTGTAAATGTGTGACGAGGCACATCCTGCATGGAAGGAGCCTTCTAAGAAATTTATTTGGGGTGGATGGGCATGTAGTCCATGGTGGGTGGGTGCAGGTCAGAGGACAACTTGTAAGTCAGTCCTCTCCTCCCACCATGTGGGTCCCAAGGACCAAACTCAGATCATCAGGTTTGGCAGCAGTCACCTCTACCTGCTGAGCCATCTCCTCGCTCTACACACCTCTTTAAATACTACACTAACTAGGCCAAAGCTTCTTAAACTGTGGGTCATGATCCCATGTGAGGCCATATAATTAAACACAAAAAACCTGGCAACGTCAAAAAGTTTCTGAATACATAATAACCAAAAATTAAATCAAAATCAAAACACATAATGAGTCCAATGTGTTTGTGGAGCCCCCACCCAGAGCCCATTGTGTAACTTCACTAAAGCCTGGGTTCTGAACACACAAAACACACTCTCCACTCTGTGCACTCCATCACACCACACAATGCCCAAACTACCATGGCTCAGATTCTGTACTACTTCATGCCATGAATTATAGTCTCTTTACATACCAAGTTCTCTGCTCTTACAGAAACATAATGGTTTAATGATGGAAAATAAACACTTTTAATCTTTTGCTATCATCATTCAAAAGCATTAAAGTATCAAATTAGTGTTTCGTTAGATTGGATTTTGTTAGACCAATATATCTACCTCACGGCATGCAAATATACCCTGCTTAATAGATGGTAATATTGTAATATACCAAAGAATTGCTTTAAAATAAATTTATGATTTGTCACTAGTAAATGTTTGATTTGTAAGCTTATCTTATATACCTGTATTATATACCTGGGGTTGTGTAAAAATATCCCTGATAGAAATGGGCTGTGAATGCACAATGTTAAAGAAGCCGGGACTGAGGATTCAGTTTAGTGGTGCAGTGCTTGCCCAGCCGGCACAAGGTATGAGTTTGTTTGCTGGAACCACAAAAGCAAAATAAGCCCTGAACTGGGCTCAACAGGTCAAGGTGTCTCCAGCGTTGACTCAAATCTCACTTTTGGGTGAGGAGAAGAGCCAAGGGTGTGGATGCCTACAAGGTTTTCGTGGCTGGCAAAGTTCCTTGTATACAGGATTGCTAAGTATGAGAGTGTCCCAGGAAATGCAAACCATTCTTTTACCTTTTTCTAAGGGACCACTCTACAAGGAGGAACTAAACCCCTTCCCTAAGAACTTCCCACAGATCAATTCCCACCATTCACTAGTCACAGTCAGAAGAACCAATCAATTCTCCATCTGAAATGCTGGCATTGTGGCAGCCAAGACTGTTAGTACAGAAAGGGCTAAAGCCTCAGGCTGTCGATGACATACAGAAGCGGAGGAGGCCACAGGAGTGGAATGGCCCAGTGTCTCTCTCGGAGGGAATGGATGTGTACAAAAGACAGGCTCTGTCTGTGTCTGAACTCTTACCAGCACAGTGATTCCTTGCTCTTTGCACAGCATAGCCACTGCTCCCAGAAAGATACTCAGCAATACCCAGAAGGTGGAAGAATGTGTTCCTTCCTTGTTACCTGCCAGTAACAGACAAACATATAAGTCATGTAATAATATGTTCCGTTTTGTCAGCACCAGGAAGTAAAATTCCAAGCATGCACCTCACAGAGTCACTAACCTGAGTTTGGTGCCACGGTGGGCCAACGTGCATTTCTGCACTCTGATTGGACAACACTCTCTAAATAGGACACATGTCCCATCTTAAGGCATTGAGAAGCATTGTAAGTAAGCTCTGGCCACAAAACTGCCACAATCCAGAGTCTCCACAGAGCAAGTTTCTTCTTCCCTACTTGCTCAGCACTGCTGTGGGATGTTCTGTATGGCAAATGTGTTGCTAATTAGTCAATAAATAAAACTGATTGGCCATTGGCTAGGCAGGAAGTGTAGGCGGGACAAGGAGGAGAATAAAGCTGGGAAGTGGAAGGCTGAGTCAGAGAGACACTGCCAGCCGCCACGATGAGAAACAGCATGTGAAGATGCCGGTAAGCCACGAGCCATGTGGCAAGGTATAGATTTATAAAAATGGATTAATTTAAGCTGAAAGAACAGTTAGCAAGAAGCCTGCCATGGCCATACAGTTTGAAACCAATACAAGTCTCTGTGTTTACTTGGTCGGGTCTGACGGCTGTGGGACTGGCAGGTGAGAGAGATTTGCCCTGACTGTGGGCCAGGCAGGAAAACTCTAGCTACACAGCACTACAGGACCATTCTAACAAGTGGTACTGAGAACTCTGACACTGCGAGCAATCCACCTGACTGCAGAATGACTCCAACGGTCCCCACTGCTATCACAAAAAGGAGCTCGGACTGCCCACACACCTCCCAGTCTCCTATGCCAGTGATGAGGACTGGCCTCTGCTCCTCTTTGTGTGCAATGGCTCTGACTCCATCACCGAAGGGTGCATGGCTACTGATGGACGGCTTGTTGTCCTAGCACTCTAGACCAGTAAAGGTCATGGGTCTGTTTGGGCTGCAACCCTTATAGGGGCTTAGCATTCAAGAGCAAGTCCAAAGAATACTCAACATGTAAACTGACGAGAAACCTGGAGGTCGGGGTGGCGGCCAGTGGCCACCAAGTTGCTTTCTGAGGAGGCAGGTATACACCCATTGCTGTATGTGGTCATCAGAAAATACAATCTAGTGGCCAGAGCTGAACAGCTGGAAGGAGACAAGGTCACAGGCAGGTCTCACCCCTGCCCACTCTTTGAAGCCCTAGGTCCTCATCTAAGTGAACAAACACTGCATCTTCTTGGGAGAACCAGTCATTAGCGTGTCTGGGTACTACCACAAGGACTGTGCTCTGCCATTCATTACTAACACACAGCATCTAACAAGTTACCTCCATTTACTCCCCTCATCTATAAGATGGGGTAACGAACCTACCTTAGGAAATGAGAGGGAAAACCTATAGTGGAATAATTTGCCACTATGTTATAAATTACATGGAAGCAAAACACACCTCTAGAAATACATAAGAAACTTACTGTAGTCATTAGTGAGTGAAGAAAAAATGGAGTAGGGAAGGAAGTCTCACTTTCCACTGTAGAACCAAGTTCTTAGCCGTATGTACATACAAAAACCAGATCAAACACTAAACACTTGAAAAAACTCACTTGATCTAGTGTGGAAACCACAGGGGCAGCTGATAAATGCTGCATGCAAACCACTGCAACTTCCTGAGGTCAGAGTGATGCAATAGTCAAGGCGAGTGGCTGGGGAATCATCCTGGCATAAAATGTGTGAAGCATGCAGTGGAGTTTCTAGGGTACACCATGGTTCTCATTAAACTGCTCACTCCAGAAGCCAGCAATACATGCTTGTGTGTTTGTGTATGTATGCGCACGCACGCACACACACACATGCACATGCAAACACTGACTGGATATAAATCCTGTGACTTATTAAGGACTGATTGGCAAAGCCCCATGATGGAAGTCTTTCATGTCCTGCCAATAATCACTGGGACCTGGAGTGCACCAGAAGTGATCTCAACCTCATGCCCTCTGTGTGTGGGCTAAGATACCTTTCAAGGTGATGAAGCCCATAGCTAGCTGAACCCCTTGGAAGCTCACAAAAGCGTGAGCAGCACCATTTTCTGCCAGGACTGACACCTGCTGTTGCCTTTAGGCTAAGGGTAACCCTTGTGAGTGTGGCTTTCATTAGTGGCCTTGCTACTGTGACCACCTGGCACCCCTCTAGCTTCCCTGGTCTGTATTCAATCCCAGACATAGTAGCCAACTCAACAGATTCCCATTTTGCTTTGCCTGCCCCATTCCCCTGGGCTAGTATGCCTCTGGCAAAATCCTGCCCTTCTTATGAAGCTGTCAAATGTCACTTAAGCTGTGAAGCCACATCCCCACTCTCCCAGCCAGTCTCCCTTCCAAATTCACTTGCTTTACTGCAGTTACAACAGCAAGTGGCCTGCCTGCCTGATTGCCTGTAGATAGGTGTCCTTAACTGACACCCCAGATCAAGTTAGGAGGAGCCATGGCCTATAAACTGCATAATCATAACCCACAATCCATCAGGACATTCTTCAGTATATTATAGAGACCGGATTTTCTCTCAGTGCCCCACATGAGAATTTCTCAAAATTAGACATTTGGTTGGTTGATGCTTTGCTGTGGGGGCAATGCTACATATCACAGGAAATTTAGGTGCACGTCTACTCGTTAGAAAACAGAAGCATCTCTAACCAACTGCGTTGCAGATATTGCTAAATGACCTTGGTGGGCGGAACCATGCCTATTGGGAAACCATTGGCCTAAACCAGTGCTACTCAGGTTGAGGGCCTGTAGCCTGAGCTTAGGTATTGCTAAAAATGCAGAATTACAACCCATCCAGGTCTACTGAGTCAGAAATCCTAAGGATGGCAACTAGCATCCTTAAGCTTTTTTAACATGCTTCCCAGATCTTTTGGACACTACAGACCCCCAACATCACCTTGGCAGCAAGCTACATTGCCAGCACCCTGCCTAGCCAAGAGCCATTGAGAACTGTAGAGACCAGACAGCAGCAGTACCCGACTGACTCTAAGGGGATGAAGGAGAATCCTTTCCAGGATGCTTCCAGCAGGGGGCCACCTGGCCTAGACTTGAGTAACTTCAGCACAGGCGTGAGCATCTCATAACACAGCCCATTTCATTTAAGTTCTGGTCCATTAGGAATATTATTCTTTATGCTGAGCATAAGCTTGCCTTTCTGAATTTTATGGCTTAAGCTCCAGGCTGTTCAGGTGGCTGAAGGCCTAGAAGTCTCAATGTTTCTCCAGTAAGAACCATTACACATTTATCCAGTTCTATCAAACAAATGAAGGATGGTTTTACTTACAAAAATGATTCATATACATGTAATACCAAAAGATCACAATTAGAACCACCACCATTACCAAAAGCTACAAGATTCCGATTTGAGGTTCTGTATGTACCAGACCCTGCACGTGGTGCTGCAGTCCAGCCTCATTCCATTGTAATTATGTCCACTAAACTCTAAGCCTAACTGTTCTATACAGTTATAACTGCCAACACACTTTATTCTGTTCTACCTCAACATGTGACCTGGACTTGATTTTTTTAATTATTAAAACTTCTTGTAAAGAACTTGCAAATAAAAAACATTATACAGTGAGATTAGCCAGACCCGAAGTCTACGCGACTCAATGACCTTATATAGTTAGTATAGCCATCCTGGAACTGTGGAGCTTTGCCTTTCACCACCAATTCTGTTTTATTTATATTTTTATGGATTTGATTTATAAATCATTCTCACCTAATACTTCTCACCAAAACATAATGATTTCCCAAATTCATAATTTTAAAAGCACATCCCTATGGTGGTATTGTGTTCCCCAAAATATTGTGCACCCTAATAAACTTATCTGGGGTCAGAGACAGAACAGCCACTAGATATAGAGGTTAGTAAATGGTGGCACTCACACCTTTAATCCTAGCATTCCAGAGGTAGAAATCCCTCTGGATCTCTGTGAGTTCAAGGCCACATTGGAAACGGCCAGGCATGGTGACACACGCCTTTAATCCCAGGGAGTGATGGTAGAAAGCAGAAAGGTATATAAGGCGTGAGGACCAGAAACTAGAAGCATTTGGCTGGTTAAGCTTTCAGGCTTCTAGCAGCACAGTTCAGCTGAGAGCCATTTGGATATGAGGACACAGAGGCTTCCAGTCTGAGGAAACAAGACCAGCTGAGAAGTTGGCCAGGTGAGGTTAGCTGTGGCTTGTTCTGTCTCTCTGACCATCCAGCATTTCACCTCAATAACTGGCCCCGGGTTTGATTTTATTAATAAGACTCTAAGATTCATGCTACACATCCCCAAATCATTTTACATATCTTCCTAGAAAAATGGAATTACTTCATGTTTTACTTAAATACAACATGAGGAATTTTCCCCCATTGGGATGTAATAGGAAACAAAGTCCCAGTTCCCCCTTTAAAACATGCAAAGGATGACTCTTGAAGGCACCCTGTTAGCACAAAGCTAAAATCTATGTGGTTGTGAAATTGAAGGACTCACGACCCATTTATCTAGTCTAGAATTCAAAACAGACATCTTCATGGATGGCTAACACAGACTTAACGGAATGTATAAAAACAAGACAGAAAACATAGCCTGTGGCTTTATCAAGCTGTTTCCCCAGGGTCACTTCACAACTGTACTATACCCCTCATGCCCTGTGCTGGATTTTTTTTTTTTTTTTTTTTTTTTTTTTTGTCAGTTTGGCACAAACCTGACATATCTGGGAACAGGGACTCTTGAGAGAATGCCTCCATCAGATCGGTCTGAAGAAAGTCTGCTGTGTATTGTCTTGATTGATGACCAATGAGGGAGGGTTGGCGCATTATAAACAAACAGTATCATCATCACGGTCGTACAAAAAAGCAGGCTGAAGAACACAGGGAACAAGCCACTGCGCAGCATCTTTCCCTGCTTCTGCGTCAGCTCCTGCCTCCAGCTCCTGCCTCCAGTTCCTGCCCTGGCTTCCTACAAGGAGGGGCTGTGATG